CCCGAGAGCCGGGACTGTGGGTGAGGGGAGCAGGCAGTGCCCCGGGTCGGTGTGTCCCTGAGGTCCCAGCACCACCTCGCAGACCCCAACTAGGTGCCCCCCCAGCTCTGAGTCCCCCATTTTCCCCCCCAGGCCCGTGACTGCAAGGTGCTGGGGGACCTGGAGGGCGCCCGTCGACATGGCACTCGTGCCAAGGTGTTGAACATCATCTGCTCCATCCTGATGGTCCTCACCGTGGTGACCCTCATCATCATCCTCATCATCATCTTCACTTCTGTCACCACCTGACCGCTGTGTGGCCGCTGACTTGTTGCTGCTACCCCGTGGGGTGCTTCTTCCTCCCCTCTCCTCTTCCTCCCAAAACGTCCCCGTTCTGGGTGTGTGGCTCAGGGGGGACGGAGCACAGCCCTGTCCCTTGGCTGCCGGCAGTCCTGGGTGTCCCAGCACAGCCACCGCGAGGAGGGCACGGGTGGGCCATGCTGGGACGCGGGGGACAGCCCCCCTCTTTCCTCTGCTTGCATGCCTTGGCAGGGAGCCGCTGGCTTCCAGGGAGCTGTGACACACAAATAGGTCACTGCTGCTGCAAATAAAGTTTTATCTTGTCAAACTCCCTTGTCAGTCGCCTTATTCACAGCAGGGAAGGAGAAGCGGGGCCTTGCACATCTTCAGGGCTGCCTCCTCCTTTTCTTCCTTCTACTCCCTCTGCTGCCCGCTCCACGGCTCTCCACCTCCATCCCCGCCACAGTGCAGAGCACTTCCAGCCCAGATCCCAGACAAGTTTCTTCCTAAAAGCTAAGGCACGGCAGAAGGAGGAAAGAAAAAAATCTCCATGTTTTTCTGGCAGTACGCACCCCATCTTGTCAGACAGCCTCTTCTCCTCCCACTTCCAGGGAACCCTGTAGAAGTAGCTCTTCCACATTTTGGTATTAAGTTCCCATTTAATGCATCCAGCAGCCCAAACACACTGCGAACGAGGCGTCTTCCCAGCCCAGCCCAGCCAGAGGGACTGAGCTGAGGGTGTTGAGCACCGAGAGATCCTGGCACTGAGGGTCTGTCCTGTGTCAGCCCCTCAGGGTGACAGTCACTTGGTTTCAAGATCATCCCACAGCTCCATCCCAATGATCCTCCCTGCGCACTTGGCCGCTCCCCTGCTCACGCTGGAGCTGTCTGTGCTCCTCATCGCAGGAGGAAGGCTGAATATAAAAAGCCTGTGGGCTCGCACAACTCAAGTTTGTTTCTCCTAGCTCCCAGCCAAGCCTTTCTGATAACCACCGCCTGGGGAGGGCTGTAATTTCTTGGGTTTATATATAGAGGCAACGAGGTTGTGCCGGAGACAGGGACTATATAAAGGGGCCACCCTGCCCCACTCCCCAGCCAGACTGGTGGAGCCACAGAGCCACGGGGTGCCCCTCTCGGTGGCCATGGACACATCCTACCCACGGGAGGACTACTCGTCCCACAAGCGGGAGCCATCTCCTGCCGCCCGCGCATCCCCACCACCCCGTGACCACCTCATCTGGTCCCTCTTCAACACCATCTACATGAACTTCTGCTGCCTCGGCTTCATGGCGCTCGCCTTCTCTGTCAAGGTATGGGCACTGAGTGGGGTGGAGGGAGTCAACATTTGGGGTCACCTGGGAGCTCTCCCCATGGGCTGAACTTCCTGAGGGGACATGGAGCCTCTGAAACAGAGGTGCTGTCCGGGGGGGGGGGGGCCCCCTCCCGGGAGCGCTGGGCTGGGGGATTAGAGCCCCACACCTTCAAGAGGCTGGTTGCAGGCAATACCAGCTCCCTGTAAAGCCCCCACACTTTTCCTGCCACTTATTAACAAGGCTGAGACCCCCCCCTAGATAACTCCAGCCTCCCCCCTCCCCGGGACTGTCACTACCTGAGGACCAACTGCTACTCCCCAGAAGATGCTGGGGGGCTGTAGTGCCCCCACCCCCTCTACCTGCACTCAGGCAATAGCAGCTCCAGCTGGTCTGGACCAGGGTGGAAAGATGGGGGCAAGCAAGGGCTGGAGCCAGCACGGCTCTGAAAGAAGCAGGAAGGGAAATCCCAGCAGCAAAGAAAGAAAGAGGAGCCAAAGGGGAGCAGGAGCCCGGGATGGACAGACAGATGGATGCCCTCTGGGCACTACCCAGGGGATGAAATTGTGTGCTGCAGGGTGGCCAAAGCCACATAGCCTGCTGGGGAGGAGGGAGGTGCGGGCAGCCCGCATGCCGCTGCCCCATCTCTTGGCTCTTGCAGGCGCGGGACCGGAAAGTGTGCGGGGACGTGGAAGCTGCTCGGCGCTTCAGCTCCAAGGCCAGGTGCTACAACACCCTGGCCACGGCGGGGAGCGTGCTGCTGCCGCTGCTGCTGGTCGCCCTGGTCATCACGGGCGTCCTCCACCTCTCCAAGCTCGCCCACGAGTCCGTCGGCTTCTTCACCTACCAGTTCAGTGGGAGTGATGACGAGGACAAGTGACCGGCGGGTGAAGGGCTTGTAGAAACTCCTTCGCATCGCCGGTGGCCCCCAGACAGACCACTGGTCCAGTGTAACCCACCGCTCAGGGCCACGTCCGCAAGCTTGCGTGGCCACAGGGCAGCGTGGGGGTGGGCAGCCCCCAAAGCTTCTCCCGCACTCTGCATCTCCCCTCACCCTCCCCTGCCTGGTCCAGCACCCCCAGCCCCGCCGTGCCCGAGCCCAGCTCCTGGCCATGCTTCTTGGGGCAGCTCGATTATTTTTGTTCACCCTAGGTTTTTTTAACTCCCTCTATCCTGTGCAGAGCACAGCATCCCTCCAGCCTCAGTGATTAATATTTAAATCATTAAACCATTTCACACATGGCGAGTCTTCTGCGTGCGTGTGTGTAGCGCAGGCGGGTGCTAAGGGGAGGATATAAATACGGTGTTTTCGCTCTGATCGTGCTCTTTGCAGGCAGGAGAAGTAATAATCTCTGTGATCTGTCGAGCCACCCAGCAACTGAGGAGGGGGAAGAAGCAGGGAGGTTTCATGGCCTCGTGGGGACATGCTCAAGCAGAGGAGACATCATCCCCTCCAAGGGGAGCTGAGACTTGCAAACTCATTGCAGTAAAGCAGACACTCCCCAGCAGGTCCCCAGGCAAGGGCAGAGGGGATGAGCACAGGGTGCAACCCCCCCGCTCTGTGCTGGCCCTCCCCATTGCCCTTCCCAGGCCAGAGCTGGCTCACTTTGACAACTGGACTAAGAAGCTCCCAGTTTGGGGCAAAAAGACCCCTTTTAGTGCCACCCGGCGCCTGGCTCAGAGCTGAGCCTTATCCCCAGCCCCATCAAACCCCAAATTCAGGTGCAGCCCACATGGCTGTTGGG